TTCCGGTCCGGATTCCACCATCTTTATAACTGGCACACGTTGTGCTGTTGACAGTTACCCATGTCCATATAGGGAAGCTCTCATAAACAGAGAAAACGTGAAGTGCATAGAAAATAATAAGAAAGTGCATATCAGGATACATTTTAGATTCCAATATAAACATTTTGTATCAACCTTATGAATATATTAATATTGTTGTGTTGCAAGTCAGTATAGTTTTAAAGTGACACAGTGCCAAGGTTGCAGACTTAAAGATACATATCATCCCATGTATAAACACATAATAAAAAACTTTTAAATAACACAACACCCACATAGAAGGGGGGGGGGGGGAATTAAAACTTGGAACATAAAAAAGAGACTAAATGATTTTACAAAAAAATTTACAAAAATATATAAAAAATATATAAAATATATGTAATTATATATTTATAAAAATGATTTTAAAAAATGATGATATAATGGTAATAAAAAAGCATTAAGGACCCAATGGTGATAATAAATACATGTATTATAAAAAATGATATAATTCAAAATCAGCATTGAGTCCAAAGGGGATGAGGGAGTTAAGGTTAAAAATCCACCTCATTGCGGCCTTCCCCATTGCTGTAATAAGGTCCTCCCCTCTCCAATTAGTTGTAACCTTCTGTATCCCCAAGAATGAGAGTTGGGTCGGATCCATTTCATGTTTCATTTTAAAATGATATGAAAGACTATGTTTTTCAAACCCTCGCTTTATGTTCCTAACATGCTCCTGGATCCTCACATGTAGTGCTCGTGCCGTTCTTCCCACATATAATAGTCCACATGTGCAAATAATAACATATATTACTTTGTTAGAATGACAGGTTATTAACTGTTTAATTTTAAATCTCTCTTTATCATTTCTTGGGTGTAGGAATTCTTTAATATGTCTTTTCCTATTATTTGTATTGGAGCATGCTCCAATATTACCACAGCCATAAAAACCGCCTTCCTCATTAAACGGATTAGTTAAAACCTTACTCTTCTGCAGGTGGCTGTGGACTAGTTTATTCTTCAGGTTGGGTACTCCTCTACAAATAATACTAGGTTTATCAGGGAGTATAGAATTTAAAACTGAATCTTTAGTCAATATCAGCCAATACTTGCTACAAATTCTTTTAACATCCCTATGTTTACAATTAAAATCACAAACAAATGGAATTTGATCTATACGGTTTTCATTTCTTCCAGCATTGGGAGTAAAAAGCTCATCCCTATCTTTTAAGAGGGTTTCCTCCAACACTCTATTTAAAAGTTCTTTATCGGGGGCGGAGCCAACAGCCGACTGAAGCAGACGTGCACTCTCAGAGCTCCGCATCCGAAAGCCTGAAAAACCGCAAAATAACTGATTACAACTTAACAATAATCAACTATACCACAGCACCCCGAGATGGGAAAGAAATCCAGACACCAAGGGGCCGTAAAACCGATGGGAGCACGAGATATCGGAGCACTTCTCCTCCGACCTGCCAAGGCCGCAGAAACTCCCGCGCAAAACCAAGATGGCGACTCGGCCTCCTCTGGAGAACAGATCCTCGATGAACTAGATGACTTCCCCGGCACAAGGGGTCTACATAGCATATCTTCGGATGAAGACAACGAATTGCCTTCCACCAAGGGAGACATAAAAGCCCTCCTTTGCAATATTCGCTCCCTCTTCGCAGCGGACATAGCGGTCCTGAGGGAGGAGATCCACACCGTAGAGGGGCGAGTCAAGAAGACAGAAGTGGACTCGCAGAGCCTCAGCGCACGGTGCATACAATTAGAGGCTCAAAATACAGAGCTGCAGCGCACTCAGACCTTACTCACCCCCCGCTTGGATGCAATGGAGGACCGGCATAGAAGCCGTAACGTAAAGATAAGAGGGGTCCCCGAAACCGTGACCCAGGATGACCTACAGGGATATATTGGACGACTCCTCTCCTCCCTACTCACGCCACAGCAGATGAAGACAGCCCTCACAGACGGGATCTACCGAATCCCAAGGGCCGCCAGTGCCCCAGCAGACACCTCGAGAGATATCATCCTCCAATTTCAAACGCGGACAGGCCAAGCAACCCTCATGGCAGCGGTGTGGGGGAAGGCATCCCACCTCTTTGAGACAGCCAGCCTGTCATTCTTTCAAGACCTATCTAGGCCTACCCTGCTGTGGAGGAGCCTCCTCAAACCCCTGACGACCACTCTCCGCCAAACCTCCATCCCATACCGCTGGGCATTCCCCAGAAGCTTGATCATCACACATGAGGGCGCAACAACACGGGTCACAGACCCATCGGAAATAGACTCAGTTTTGGCAGCGCTAGGCCTACCTCCACGACAGGAACAAGCTACAACCGACCGGAGACCAAAGGCCCATCACACCTGGGATGTAGCAAACATCAGTCCGTTTCAACCCTCTAACATCAATGTCCCGTCATCCAAGGCTTCCAAGGAGCATCGAGTAAACTGGCACCGAGGGGATACTTAAGAGGACAGGTGCCCGAACCACAACAATCCCCCAGGGAGGACTAATGATCAGTTGCATTTAGATTTTTAGTTACTGTCTCAACCCCATCCCTCATGGACACGATCCCTAGACAAGCTTTACAGTGCTTTCACCGCACCGAGAAAACACCCCCAGCAGCAGACGGACACTCGACAACCGGACGCCTCGCGAACTTAGCAATAATGGAGGGCAGAGGCTGGTCCCACATCATCTGCAATAGTTCCACAGTTAAATAACCGCTCAGAATGTCTGATATTTTGCCCATGTCTCCAACCAGCTTTGAATCATTTGTTCTGTTTTGTATTGTCTCGTTTTGGCACTTAACTAGCCCTGACCAGATACCATAGGTACTTTTCAGCTCCCACTAAACAGTAGTCTCCTACCAGTCGAAGGTGGCCGAACGCCACATATCTTATTGACCGAGCCAGGAAAGGTCTCAAGTTGGTAAGGTAGTTTCAGACGCATAGCCCTACGGTATGTCCTATCCTACACTGACAGCTGAACTGTAAATATATATGTTTAGTCGCCATGTACGGCCAACCTATCCAATCTCTGCCCTGTTTAATATGAACAAGGCTTAATAACATAGACGTAGGATACGGTATTCATGTGTGACCTCATACTATGTTTAGGCCCGAGCAGATCTTAACACCTTACGTTAAGGTAACCTATGTATACCACTAATGTACAACCTACACTGGCTGATGACCTGGCGAAGTCACCCACAGACAGGGGCAAGACGAGGGCAGATATTACAGATACCTGCATGATAATCTTATGTCTCCTAATAGCCGTGTTTTTAGATAGCCTGTCACTGGTCAAAGTCATGCCAAATAACCTATGTGTCTGGCAGCTTACGGGACGCCTTGACTCCTAGATCAATCGAGCCTTATCAGCAAAGTTTTTTAGTTTAGCCGTATGTAGCTATACATGCCCTATTAACGCTCCATGTTCTCGTACTCTGTAATTATAACGCATAAGACGGGCATGGACAGCGTGTAAATCTACAAGAGGAGTCGTAAACCAGCTATCAACGCTGTTATCAAACATGTCTCACCTACACTTTCACACTTAGCACATGTTAAGCTGTACAGACGTTACTAAGACGACTATACTGAAAGTTAGATGGTGCTGCAAAAAGTCCCTCTTGACTTATTAACATAAAAATTTATATTGATACCTAAAGTACTGTTTTAACTATTGAAGCTCTAGCAAGTTTCTAACTTGTAATCACAATCTACGTTTAAATCCTAATGTTTAAGCATGTTTAAAAATTGTGCCTGTTATCCATGTGCCCCGCATGTCAAGCGTGGGAAAAGCCAGAGGACTGCTTTTGGGGCACCTCTCGCCAGCCTGTAATGTATATTTGCACTGCAAAAATAAAGAATTTAAAAAAAAAAAAAGTTCTTTATCATACCCTTTTTGCTAAAATCGTTTAAAATTCTCTTGGATTGTTGGTTAAAATCCCCCTCCTCCGTGCAGTTGCGTTTTAAGAGTTGTGACTTCGGTACATTACTTAGCCATGGGAAAAAGTGACAGCTCCCTTCTTCTACGTAGCTGTTCACATCAACTGGTTTAAAATAAGTTCTCGTCTTAACTTTTCCCTCCTCCACATAAATATTCAAGTCTAAAAAAAATTAACCTCTGATCTACTGAAATCACTTGTCAACTGGATTCCCCAGTCGTTGTGGTTTAAAAAGCTAAAAAAATCACAGAGAGAAGGTTCATCCCCCTTCCAAATGAAAAATATATCGGCGATGTATCGGTGATAGAGCACCAGGCCCGCATCCCAGCCACGCCCGCAATCAAACAAAGTGGTATTTTCAACCTCACTAAAAGAACACTCTCAAAACCCCAGACAGACCTATTAACCCCTTAAAGACACAGTTTCAGAAATAAAAGGGAATCATGACAGAATATTTCCGTCATGTGTCCTGAAGGGGTTAAACAGAGGTTTAAAATTTGCCCCTACACAAACATTGGATAAATTAAATTTTTACATAGATTTAAATAAATGTAAACGGAAATTATGTTTAAAAAAAATGTTTTTCTAAGCCAAAGAAGTTTCTGACGAGATCACCACTTTTGAAAAAATGGTTATATATGACGTTCAGAAAGTGGGTAAATTAAAGCGACAAGATTATAATTTAAGTCAGGTAGAAAGGGAAGCCCTAATTTTTTTTTAGAGAGGATGACACCCTGGTAATAAAACCGGCAGATAAAGGGGGAGGTATTGTGCTTCTTGAAAAAGAAGAATATATGAAAGAATCCCTACGCCTCTTAGGTGACAATAAGACATATCAGATTTTAAATAAGGACCCAATAGGAGACTTTAAAAAGAGTTACTCTGCACTTATAGATAAAGGGAAATTGCTTGGAATTTTAAATAAAAAATAATTTATTTTTGGGGGCGGAGCTTAACCACGGAGCCGAATGGACGCCATCATCCACGGCTCCCCGGCACCAAGACACAATCTGCCGCGCATCTCAGGTAGGGGGGGCCATCGACCCGCGGGACCCACAGCTACAATCCCAGGGCTCACAGGGCAACCCACCGATGCCCTTTTTATACCCACAACCGGGCAAAAAACGAGTCCGCAAATCCCGGGCCTACCTCACTCTCCCGCCGGCATCGCAGCTACCCGCGGGGATCCCCCTGAGCCTGGAAGACGGGTGCGGACAGCGGGCAGGTCACCACTCACCCGACAACGATATGGGGAGGCGAACACAGAAGCCACAACAGACCGCACCCAGGGACTCCCAAGATATTGGGACTCTGCTGCAACGCACAGCAGGCCACAAAATGGCGGCCGAACAAGACCAGGACCCTGGCCCCACACACTCAGTACAGCTGTCCCAGGGAAGCAGCAAAGACATGAGAGCTGAAGCTCCCAGCAGCCCACAAACAGAGGGGGATGACTCAGCCCCAGCCACTAAAAGGGACATCAGACTCCTATTACAGGAGATGAAGGGGCTGTTTGACACCGACATAAACTTAATCCGCACAGAGACGCAGGCGGTGACGGCAAGAGTACAGGCCTCTGAAGAAGACATACTAGACCTCCGACAGGAGGTGAAAAGCATGGGGGACGCCCTGAAACATTTACAGACAGCGAACTTAGCGCTCCAAAACACGCTAGACGCCATGGAAGATCGCAACAGGCGCACACATATTAAGATTCGGGGTATCCCTGATGCAGTGGGACCATCCGAATTACCACAGTACCTGAGGAGACTCACAGCCACAATACTGCCACATACACAAGCCAAAAAGCTGGAATTCGACAGCCACTTCCGCATTAACAAAGCAAAAAGGGCACCCACAACGGCCCCAAGGGACGTCATCGTCCGCTGCCATTCCATGACAGACAAACGCTGCATACTAGCAGCAGTGAGAGACAAGACACCCTTGGCCTTCGAAGCCTCACAACTTACCTTCTTCCAAGATATCACGCGGAGCACCCTACTCTGGAGAAAGTCCTTGAGCAACATAACGGAACAACTGCAGAAGGGGAACGTAGAATACAGATGGCTTTTGCCAAGAACCCTGGTGGTATTCAGCGGAGAAGAGGTTCTAAAACTCACCTCACTCTCGGAGGCCCCAGCGCTTCTCCAAAAATTGGGACTAACTCAGAACGCCCCAACACCAGGACCAACGCAAGCCACCCACTCATGGGACCCGGCATACGTCCCTAGGGGCAACAAGAGACCGGAGGCAGAGACCTGAACACCTTAAACTGTTTAACCTCTTAATTTTATTTCCATGCTCTGATATTTTCTCCTCTTCTCTGATCTCACCCTATTGCTCTACCAAAATACGACATTTTACTATTAACTCCCCATACAAAGTCGGAGACGATCTCCCAACCCCCGCGACCCTCTTAGGTTAAGGGCCAACACTACCTACTAACCCAAGCATAGCAAGCGCGACACAAAACCCACACTCAGGCACAGACAGACGCACATATACAATTTTCACCGACGACGAACAACAGCACTTTACAATCACCAACACCCTCCCTCAAACAACAGAGAGGAGTGCCACTTAACCACTCACAGGACCCAAGCAACATAGACACAATCACTCACAACCAGTTCACCCTATGGGAACCTACCGCATGGGCACACTCGACACATTAGAAAACCAGAAAAAGTGCAGAAACATGACCACAAGTTCTTCCTGACTACTAGGACGCAAGCTAATCCCTTCGACCATAGAACAAAAAAACTCATACTACATACTTGCTGCCAATCCTATGCTCCTGATATGTTATAAGTGTAAAACGTATAGACTGATCCAGACCCTTGGCAAAACAATTGTTATTTACTAATCTGCCTATGTTGAAAAGGCAGCTCAAGTATGTTATGCTTTTGTCACATTTCTCAATGCACAGAAAATAAAGAATTTAAAAAAAAAAAAATTATTTTTGTAAAATATTTTAAATCTGAGGACTCCAGTGTTTTATTGAGACATTTGAGGGACTCTCTGAGCCTTTTAACTATTTTAAAAGATCAAGTATGGCAGGAGGATTATTTTTTAGTCACCTCAGATGTTAGCTCCCTCTATACTATTTTTACGCATGAGAGAGGTTGTTTAGCTACTCAACATTTTTGAATTTTTTAAGGTTTTTCCCCAGACCCAAATTGATTTTATTGTCGAGAGTATACAGTGGATTTTAACACACAATTATTTTTGGTTTGAGGATAGGTTTTATAGTCAGGTGTGTGGTACGGCGATGGGCACCAGATTTGCACCCAGCTACGCCAACCTTTTTATGTCATTATGGGAAAAATAATTTTTCTATGGCTGGCGTGGCTGGGATGCGGGCCTGGTTCTCTATCACCGATACATCGACGATATATTTTATGCTGAGTCTCACAACGAAATACCCTTAACAGTAGGGGTGAGTATACATTATCATTTTAGCGCTCCACTTTTGGAATTTTTGGGATTTTTAGGTGGTTGGTATTCTCATTAACCTTCCTTCTAAATTCCCTATCTTTATTATATTGAACTAGTTGTTGACTGGAAAGATCCACCTATAAGTGTTGTAGCTGCTATAGTAACCTTACATTTTTCGATATTTTCTAAGCGCCTGTCTGTAACACACATCACCTTTGACAATAGTAGACGATAGTCCAAATCAATGGTAGTGTCATCCAATAGTCCAAATAGTATTAGAATATTAGCTCTTAAAAAGGCTAAGCTAAGTGCTCTAGTAACAAACTAGAATCCACATAGATAATAGTATGGTACAATACATAAATAGATGAGCAGGTATACAGGTATATAAGGATTAACAGGACCAGGATCGTGTCTTTATATAAAACATAATCCATTTATTCGTTCCAAAATATAAAATACAGAGACAAAGGAGCTCTCTTGATTAAACTTTAATTTTCAATATAAAATCAGTCACTCACATGAGGTGCAGTATAGTCTTGAGCATAAAGTCTCTCTCCCAACAGTCTAGGTACTCCTGTTAAGCTGCCTGTGGTAAGCCGGCTGCACAGACAGCTGGAGAGTCCGTGATGGTTGTTCGGGTGTAGGAGAGGTTGGCCGCATGCGTTCCACTGTGGCTCAATATGCATTCCCCTGCGCTCAATGTCTTCCCCAGTAGTGAGTTTAAATGCAACCTTACGCGTTTCTTGACTCTAGTGGTAATACGGCAGCGTATGAGTCCTATATGGACTTTTGCAGTAAAAACGGGGGGCGGGGGAGAGGTGGGGGCAGAGGGCTTGCCTGTTCTCAAGTGTTTGATGGTTTCGGTGCATTATGTGTCCCCCTCTGGGTAAGTCCGCCCTGTGCTAGACCCAAGTCCTGCAGTAGTGCAGCCGACCCTTGAAGGTGTTGTGTGCATTTTTGCTGTATGATGATCAATATTGCTTCCCTGATTCCCAGCATCTCACACTCTTTTATTGCAAAAGTAATGAACTTCCACATAGTTTTCAGTGAACTAGCACGCACTAGCCATGCATGAGAAAAGGCATGCCAGAGAAAGCAAACAAAATATATATTACATTTATAAACATTTATTACATACATTTCAAGCTGCTCTTGCTTTAATTTTGGTTGCACATTTGGGTAAAGTGTTTGCCTGCTGGTTTAAAAACAACCTTACAGAAATACACTATATTCACCAAAACAATGTTAGCTTAATGAAGCAGTTGTGGTGTATAGATCATGCCTCTGAAGTTTCACTGTTCAATTCTGTCACTTATGCGCTAAATCACTTTTGTTTCTGACAGAGCTTGCATGAAAACATGTTTTCATTTTTAATCAACTTTAATCAGATGTTACTGTGCAGGAAATAAGAAATTCTACATTAAACCTAATTTGCGGTAAGGGTATTATAACTATTAGATTTCACTTTTCATTAAGTGTTTCAGAAGGCTGTGTAAGTCACATGCAGGCAGATGTAACTTGGGCTGTATAAGTAAAGAGATTCAAATAGGGATTCCTAAATGGCAGAGAACTCAGCAGTGAGACTGCAGGGGCCTGATCTATACATCAAAACTGCTTAAATAAGTGTGCCGAAACCAACCTCGTCACTGTACACTGGAGAAGCCTGGCTGCTCGCCTGCTGCCTTTGGACTATGGCCCCATGTTAAAAGACATCTTTTTTCCCTGCAGAAAAGACTTATTCGTGCTTTTCTGCCGGGTGTTCGGTAGATTCAATCTACCGAACAATCGCACGAATGAATAGACCACCTGGGAGCTGGAGTGTGCCGGCAATTAACCTCCCTGAAGCTGCGGTTAACCGCAGCTTAATTGACGAATGCTGGGTGGCCGCCATTCGTATCACGAATACGAGGTAGCGGCCATTTTAAACACGCGAATGCACAGCGGTGTTCGACGCTTAATTCATGGAACTGAAATCGGACACAGTTTTGCGCGAACACTGCTGAAGCCGCCTACCTCCCTTCTTGTTCACGGAAAGTGCAAGAACGGCCCGGTGTTCGGTAGTTTTGTTTGAGTGTGTTGTGCCTCAGATAGGAATCCCATGGAGCCCATTTGCATGAAATTGACTGTGTAAAGACTTTGGCTCCATGGCGATTAAACTGTATTCGTGTGGTCTGAGCGCCATTCGCTTAATAATGTGCGCTCAGACCTGAGCTATCTGGGGATATGTAGAACATATATGTTTTATGTACTGAATGTAACTGTAGGTAATTTTATGTCTTTTATTGTTTGTTTTCTGCCATGTGGTTAATGGAGTTTTGCCTCTGTCTTTGGATATAATTGAATTACTTCCCAAATTATCTCCAGGGCAGAGAGGAGGGATTGTGATGCATTGTGGGATGGTTGAAATGTGTAAGTCTGTGATTGGTCCTTTTACCCTTTGTGTCCCAGTCTCCCATTTGGTCCCCTAGGGGAGTGTCCACCTGGTGGGAGACCTGCATAAAAGCCGGGCAGTTAGCCCCAGTAAATCAGTTCCTGCTTAACCCTCAAAGTGAAGTGTCGTCTCATTATTTGGGGAGGATTTACTGTATGCTGTTAGAGACTGATTGCCAGGAGTGTAAGCCGCTTGGGGGCTTTTCCTGTTCGTCTGCTAGCAGCTATTCGTGTGTCTCCAGTTCGGGACTTTCGAGTATTCCCTTGGTTGCAGTTCGGGAGTTGGTGAATTTGTGGGTTTGCAGTTCAGGAGATTGTACTGGTGCTTGCAGTAGCTGTTGGTGCAGCTGGAAAAGAGGAATATCGCCTAAACGGTTTTTAACCTCTTTTGGGCAAAACGGTCCGTTACAATAAGTTGGTGACTATAGTGTCGCTTTCACAGTTGCCCATGTAAGGATGACAGCAATCACAATCACCAATATTTTAAAGGGACTATTGATATAAGGTCACAAAACCTTTTATCCAAAATAAAAAAGTGTGGTAACCCTAAACCTATATAATCTGAATAGGAATGTAACCAGGATCAGTGACCGCCTGGATCTTGATCAGAGCCAAATTAGAAAAAAGGTATAAATAGTTGTAAAAGTGTAAATCTTTATTCATATATTGCAAAACAAAAATAGAGGAGAGAAAAACAGCAAATGAATCCTGAATGAATGAAGCTACTACAGGCCAAGGAAAAAAAATAGGTTTATATGATATTTTAACCCCTTAAGGACCAAACTTGTGTAATAACAGGGAATCATGACATGTCATGTGTCCTTAAGGGTTTAAGGACTATCCACAAGCACCATTTTCTAGTCCTGAAAACTTTGGAAACTCTTATCAGTGATAAGTCCCTGGTGTGCTTGTATCTAAACTAGGCATATCAACTGTAGCAGTACCTTGGAGGGAAGCCCACAGGGAATCCTCCAACCTGAAGGTTAAACTATCCAGAACAGCTCAATTGTAATATCTGGACATGTGCCTTTAACAGATTAATCACCAAGGACACAGTAAAAACCACCCACTGGACATTGTGACATTATGGTTTTATCTAACTGACACATGAAGGGTTACATTTGTGGAGCACAAACCAGTGTGGACAACATAAGGTTAATCTAGTGTGGGTCTGTTGCAGTTTACAAAGTAGTACGTTTAAGTATGTGCTTAATTATTCTCCTTCTCATGGTTCTTTAACTGGATAACCCTGGTCAGTGTGGTCAACTACAAGAGCACTTACCCTCCTGGCACATATCTGCAGATTGAACGAACTTGCTATGATGCCTCAAATTCAGCTAGTAATGTTGCAAGTACCTGCAAACATTTCGAAGCATGTCATTCTAACCCCTTTTTTATTGCCCCACCTTGTATACACTAGGGACTCTCTCCCATACCCTTTAGTCATTTGCCCAGCTTAGCCCAAACATATTAGCACCACGTATATGTATGTGCCAAGCACTCTGGTTCCCACTGTGGCGCTACCTTAAGGCGGCACAGCCCAGGGGGTGCAAGATCTGGCTGACTGGCAGGAGGGGATTACACTGTACAGTTCTCTCCTCCAGCCAATCACTCATCTGTAGCATGGCTGAAGAGCTTGTGTAACATCTACCCCGGTCTGACAGGAAGTACACACAGGGAGCGCAGAACTGCTTCCTGTCAGACAGGGGAGAAGTTACTAAAGATCCTCTACCCTGGTCCATGCTATACAGGAGGGAGGTGACACATGGGGTGAGGTGGAAAGGGTTAAGTATCAAAGGTATTTGCAATCCAGATATGTCAGCACT